CAAGGAATGGATCACTGTTGGTACACTGGATAAAATTGAAGAAAGAAGGAACAAGAAGGCGGCGATCAATATCAGCCGAACAAGAGCAGAAAAAACAAATGCACAAGCCGAATACACAGAGGTAAACAAGCAAGTGAAGAGGAGCATCAGAGCTGACAAACGTAAATATGTGGAAGATTTAGCAATGACAGCGGAAAAGGCTGCAAGAGAGGGAAACATGAGACAACTGTACGATACAACAAAGAAACTCACTTTAAATTACCGTAAACCCGAACGACCGGTGAAAAGCGAGGAAGGCAAGGTAATCACCAACATTGAAGAACAACAAAACAGGTGGGTAGAACACTTCAAAGAAGTATTGGATCAACCAGCTCCATTGGACCCACCCGACGTCAAAGCAGCATGAGCAAAAAGCATTCCAGCAGAAGCACTGAAGGCAGATGTAGCAGCAACTGCAAAGATACTCCACATTCTTTTGAGCAAGATTTGGGATAAAGAACATGTAACAGCAAACTAGAAAAAAAAACACCTGATCAAAATACTTAAAAGGCGATCTCAGCAAATGTGATAACTACAGTGGCATCACTCTTCTCTCAATACCAGGAAAAGTCTTCAACAGGGTATTGTTAAACAGAATAAAGGACACCGTAAACGCCCAACTTCGATTCCAACAGACTGGATTCCGTAAGGATCGATCGCGTACAGACCAAATCGCAACTCTACAGATCATTGTAGGGCGATCAATTGAATGGAATTCATCACTTTACATCAAATTCATTGACTACGAGAAAGCATTTGATAGCGTGAACAGAACAACACAATAGAGGCCTGTTCGACACCACGGCGTGCCTGAGAATATAGTCAATATCATACGGAGTTCTAATGATGGATTAAACTGCAAAGTCGTGCATTGAGGACAACTCACTGACTCGTTTGAGGTAAAGACTGGTGTCAGGCAAGGCTGCTTACTCTAACCCTTTCTCTTTCTCCTGGTGGTCGACTGGATCATGAAAACATCAACATCTGGATGAAAGCACTGGATATAAGAGACAGCTAGGATACAGCTGGTTGATTTAGACCTCACAAATGATCCGGCTCTTCCATCACACACACAACAACAAATGCAAGAGAAGACGACTAGTGTAGCAGCAGCCTCAGCAGCATTAGGTCTCGATATAAAGAAAGGGAAAAGCAAGACTCTCCGATTCAATACAACATTCACCAATCGAATTACACTTGACGGAGAAGCTTTGGAGAATGTGGAAACCTTTATATATCTGAGCAGCATGGTTGATGAACATGGCGGATCTGATGATGATGATGTGAAGGTGCGGATCGGAAAGGCAAGAGCATCATATTTAAAATTGAAGAACATCTGGAACTCAAAACAATTGTCAACCAACACTAAAGTGAGAATTATGACAGTTCTACTGAGTGGGGCGGAAACCTGAAGAACTATCAAAGCCATCACCCAGAAGATACGGGTGTTTATTTACAGTTGTCTACGTAAAATATTTCGGATCAGTTTGCCGGACACAAACAACAACAACTCACTGTGGGAGAGACCAAACCAGATTCGAGACGGGGGAAGAAATTAGGAAGAAGAGCTAGAAGTGGATAAGACACATATTGAGGAAAGCACCCAACTGTGTCACAAGGCAAACCCTCACATGGAATCCTGAAGTTCAAAGAGGAAGACCAAAGAACACGTTACGCCGAAAAATGGAGACAGACATGAGAAGAATGAACAAAAGTTGGATAGAATTAAAAAGGAAGGGACAGGACAGAGTGGGTTGGAGAATGCTGGTCTGCCACCTATGTTCCATTGAGGGTAACAGGCGTAAGTAAGTACGTAAGTAACAAGTACACCAAAACATACACTTTATGAAAATTTGATGCAAGTGAGACAGGAGCTTACACGGCTACACTTGTGCTACCTAAATCTCTGTTCATGACGTCGGCATTTTTGTATGCCACCTCATGTTCATTCGGTTCTTAGTTCTATTAACAAATCCATGAAAACATATGTCGAAAAGGGAAGTTACATTTCGGCTATTATTACTATAGACTATCTGCCAAATAGACTTTCTCTTGGTTGTCTTTAAATACATAACGTCTAAAAATTGTATTCATAAAAATGCGATAGTCCTTCTGGTAAAGCTGTCAAGCAATTACAATTATAAAGTGAAATATTTTTCTGAGCAAGGCTTATGATAAGATTACTTATTGCTGACTGTATAATCTTCGAACTAGTTTTCAGATAAAGTTCTATTAAGATGATTTTGTAAAAGAGGAGGACAAGAGATGTAATTTCAAGCGACTATGAGAATTTCCGTGACTAGTCCAGCGGTTACTCGACTACTTGTCACTCTCAGGCTGACTTATACAGTCCTTTATGCTATAAATCTTTTTATTTTTTTAGTAGCCTTTTTCTCCTCATTTTTGTAAGTTACTCAGGACATTTTCTTCCTTCTAAATGTTTCATGGTCCGGTTTATCCACAGTGTGTTCAACCTAATTATGATGAAAAACTTTCACTGCAGATTTTATATATTTTATTATTCTTTTTGCTTCATCATGAATTTATCATTCTTCTCACACCACTTACGAATAGACACAATCTGTTATCCTAACACACTTTTCGTTTCACACCACACGTCTCTTACACACTAAAGCAAATACCTAATTTAAACATTGTTAACGTTGATTGGATAATCTACTTAGTATTGAGTTTATCAGAGAACCATGTACTTATTTATATTCGACAAATTTGACGTTTGATTATAGTTCCTTGAAAATGCTTGGACCAGATTACCAGGTGAAACGTTGGATTTACTTCAAATGCATTTACTGAAATTTTACAAATACATTATTCCTCCCTAATGTGTCGGATCAACTTGGCACCCAAATACTGTAAAACAATTCGATCAAATTAAGACAATAGCTCTTATATACAGATACAATTTAGTTCTCTTTTTTTCTGTAGTATATATTATACAATGTTAATAATATTTCTGAACATTTTCGTGGATTTGGGAAAAAATACTTAAATTTAATACTCTACATTGCTAGATACTACTTTAAATGTTCATTCAGTGAAGTACATGAATCCACAATTGTCAACTAAAGTACTTTTTTTCTAATTTGTGACTACTTATGTTACAAATCATATCACATGAGATGATTTAACACATTGTAATTAATTATGATGTTCAAAATACAAAAAAAAACTTTGGGGAAGCAACTAAATAATCAAAGATAATTATCTTTCATTAATCTCATCAATTACTTTTACATTTAAAGCAATTAATCCCTTTGATAAATTTCGATCATGTAATAAGAAGATGAAGATTATTTTAAACAAACTAAAAAAATTTTTTAGTAAGTGTTTAATTCAAAAGATCATCTGCTTCTAAGACAGATATACATATTCTTCATATTATTACTACTTCTCTCCTACTTAATATATAATTATTCATATGATGTAATATGGATTTTTGCAACATGTTTTGTCAATTCAAGGATACCATGTGGTTTTATATAATAATGAGAAAAAATCAATATTGTATAGATTATTTAATAGATATAATTACAAAAACCAAACCAAAACAAAAAAAACATTCATTTTTTCACGTTTTATAAAAGAAGTAATAAATTATAATTTAATTTGAGTACTGTAGAGAGAACGAATTCACCGATCTAAATATATAAATTTCAATAAAATTTACTTTTAAAAGTTATCTATTTATGATATGAATTGAAACAAAATAATTTCAAAAAAACATACTGAAAAACTCAACGGATTTAAGATAACTCTCAACAACAGGTTCCAAGTCTTACAAGATCTAGTGGAGTAAGAGGAAACTACTATGGATCTCAAGTGGAAATGGATCAAAGAAGCATTAATTTCAACGTGTCAGGAGTTTCTTGGTCACATATAAAAGATTCCTTGATTATTATTATTTTTCTGTTTATTCATTAATATAATAATGTACAAGTCATTCATACTTTCATTTAACTTTCCAATATAAAGTTGGTTTTCTTCTCATAAGATATTTTATTAATCTTTAGTGAATTCTCAATAAATAAAAAATTCTTATGACCATCCTCGTGTATTCATACAATTTGAACAAAATTTTTATAGAGTACTCAAGTTTTAAGCTTTTTCATATGATAATTGTTGATGATTATACTAATATCAAACATTATGAAATGAAGAATATTCTGTGAAAAATATTGAATTTTCATGTATTCAATATAAACAGATATTATTCAATGCTTTAGACGTTTGCTAGTAAACAGAATATGACGATCTGAAAGTTCGCATATAATATTGCAGAACAATGAAATGTTTAATTGGATAAGCAATAAATACAACAATATATATCTATTCATGACTGTTAATTAGTTTTTCACTAACTTAGACCACATTATTTCTACAGCTATAATCCGTGAGTAATAAAACCTGAGGCTTAACAATAGAAAGATTATTGTTACAAATATATATATATATATATAACTGGACAACAATAAGTATTGATAAGCTAAGATGGATAGTGGCTAGCAGTGGAATCCAGGACGCGCGTTTCGTCCTATTTGGGACTCGTCAGCTGAATGACGCGATGGCGTTTGAAACGAAAAGTACAGGGTTCGAGTCCTAGATTGGACATCAACTCTGAGATGCAGGTACATCCAGCTGACGAGTCCCAAATAGGACGAAACGCGCGTCCTCCATTCCACTGCTAGCCACTATCCGTCTTCGCTTACCATGCTTGTGAATTGAGGCTATATCGAGGCAATACGCACAGTATGCACATATGCCAATTACAGACTGACCAGTTGCAGTCCTAACAAATCGATGGGAAGATTCAAACAAACAATACTTAATGAATTTAAACAATAAGTATTACTTACCAAAATTACCAGAAAAATAACTGACAACAGTGATGAGAAAGAGTGATAAAATCCTCTCATTTAAAATTTGAAGTACGATTATTATTATTATCGAAATAAAGCATTATATCTAGATAAAATACAAAAAATATAAAATCAGAAAATTTAATGTATACGCTTACTATCATTTCATATAACGTGTATGGAAAAATAGTTTTGACCACATACCTATTTAATCTCAGAACATATATGTTTAAAATATACTCTTGAAGCCTATGACAAAATAATTAAAAATTCGTTTCCTTCAATGTAGTTAAAAACGGTGTTTAATATAATTTCAAATGCTGACTAAGGATTCAACTCGTACTGTAGCTCTTCTGAGGATACTGTCAGTACCAAGACCGAGTAAACGAGGAAAGTCGGGTATAGGGTCAGCAACACAATCCCGCAGAAAAAACCTTGCTAAAAACTTTTAACCAATATTTTAACACAATATTTCCACACAAATGTATGCACAAAGCTACATGTATCACACTACATGGATTACACTACGCAGAACAAGATCGATCATATTTGCATCAGTAAAGCGTTCAGAAGGTGAATGGGAGACGTGAGAAGAAGGAGAGTAGCTGACATAAATTCAGATCAACATCCACGTGGTGGTCGCCAACATGAGCGTGAAACTAAAGAAACACTGGACAACCAGACAAACAGCATTGCAAAACTTTGATACAGCCTTCCATCGACATACTTTAAAGCTCAACCAATTCAAGATAACTCTCAACAACAGGTTCCAAGTCTTACAAGATCTAGTGGGTAAGAGCAAACTACTATGAAGCTCAGGTGGAAATGGATCAAAAAGCACTAATTTCAACGTGTCAGCTGTTTTTTGGTTGCAACAAGCATCATCATATGAAATGGATCTCTGTCGAAATCATTTGCAAGATCTAACACCGGAAGAACAAGAAGACATCAATAAACAACAGTGGAACGAGATCAGAGACAATCAAATTGACAATGCAAACTGATTACACAGAAGCAAACAAGTGGATGAGGAGAGACATTGGAGTTGACAAGTGGAAATTTATGGTAGACTAGGCAACGAAATCGGAGAATGCTGATAGAGTAGGAAATATGGATTAAGTATATGACAGAAAGTAGAAACTGGTAGGGAATTGTAGTGAACCAGAGAGACTGGTCAATGACAAGGAAAGCAGTACAATCTCTGAGATTCAAGAAGTGTGGAACCGGTGTGTAGAACTGTTTGATGAAATCTCGAATAAACCAGTTCCATTGAATCTTCAATTACAGACCTTCCAATAAATGTCACCCCAACAACGATCCATGAAATCTGGATAGCTATATTTTGTATTTGTCTTTTCATTTCAATTATCGTACAAAAGGTGTTATCCAAGGTATAATATCTGGAGTTAGAGGAAAGATTTTTGTTAATAATATATTCTTTGCATTTTGAAGTTAAAGTTAGATTAACAGTCAGTAAGAAATTCACCTCTCAATTGTCCCAGTGAAAGTGATTGGACACTGAGATGTAAACTGTGAAATACAACTGTAGTTAACATTATGTGGAACTCGATAACTTTTGTCCGACTAAATAAGAAGTTTGTTCTATATAATGATGTTTGTTTGGTGTCTTAAAACGTCACTTCCAATGCAACACGTAGCCTAGATATAATCATGACAGGTATTTAATTTCATTTGATGATCAGTTTCAAAGTAGACTCCTCACTTTCCTTTATTCTTTTTCTTCTAACGGTTAACAGGATTGTAAATAATTGAACATTTCAATGGAAGTACAGAACACAATAGAAAACTTGCATGCTACTATACGATTTGAACTTCGCAGATCACATAACTCTTCTATCACATACACACGAACAAATGCAGGTGAATACAACCAGTGTAGCAGAAGCCTCTGCATCAATAGGTCTTAACATACACAAAGGAAAAATCAAGATTCCTCAATACATTACGAAGAACACCAATCCAATCAAATTAGATGGAGAAAATGTGGAAGATTTATATACCTGTGGAGTATCATTGATAAGCAAAAGAGATCTGATGCAGATGTGAAGGCTCAGATTGATAAAGTAAGGGTGGCATTCTTACAGTTGAAAGACATATGGAACTCTCAAAACAACTCTCAACCAACATCAAAGTCACAATCTTCAATACCAACGTGATGACAGTTCTATTGTATGGAGCTGAAGCTTTGAAATCTACCACAACCATCATCAAAACGTACAAGTATTTATACACAATTGTCTACATAGGATACTGAATGTCCATGGGTCGGATGTCATCAGCAACAGCCTACTATGGGAGAAAATAAATCAGCTTCCATCTGAAGAGGAAATGAGGAAAAGAAGATGGAAGTGGACAGGACATGCATTGCGGAAATCATCAAACTGCATCACGAGGCAAGCACTATCTTGGAATCGTGAAGGGGAGCTGAAAAGAGGAAGGTCAAACTACACATTACACTCGGGAAAAGAGGCAGATTTCAAAAGGATGAATAGTAGTTGGAAACAACAGGAAAGGATTGTACAGGACAGATCTCGATGGGGAATGCTGGTTGGCGGTCTATGCTTCTACACCAGACATAACAGGAGTAAATAAGTACGTAGTAGACTTTAATACTTTGATTAATATGCCAAAAAGGAAAACTCAATTTCACGTAAATATGAGATTCGCTTTTCGTTTGACACTTAAAATGGACTGTAATGTAATTACCAATCTCAGTTTTAAGTTCAACTATTTCCGGTTATATTCTGTAATTCAGAAAGATGCATAAGTATACGAATAGAAATGTTAGTTTGAAGTATTTTTCATGTAATACTTATGTTCTGTGATTTGTTCACAATCTTGAATGGCTGTTTAAAGGTAACTCTATATTTTTCGACGATTTATTGACCTTGAAATTCCAAATTTTTCTATAAGTCCTCGAGGAGTAACAGACGTAAGTAAGTAAGAATAACGATTTAGCTAATCAATAATGCAAGAAAAACAAGGTATGCCCCGGCCAATATAGCAAACCATACACGTATAATTGTATCTGATAAATGCTAAGACTGATTACTTAGTTTATCAAGTTGATTTGAATAACATATTAGATATATACAATTTTCATACAGTTTAACTGAATAACACGCAGTGTAATAACAAACCATTAGACAACCAACAACTGGTTCGAATAAGTTATCAGAGAAGAGGTGTACCACCAATTCTGTGTATTTCTTGAAAGAAGATAAATTGTCATGGAAATGCAATCAAAATAAATAATACTATTTTAATGAACAGTGAAAATAAGGATCAAAAGAAGAGGGAATAAACCCATTAATGATAAGAAAACCCATATTTTTGATTGATAAAAACATTTAGTTGAACAACGACTTTTTCAATCATATAAAACACATTCACTCACCCTAGCTTGGATGCATCATCGACTCGATAAGTAACCAGTGGACCTAAGTTTTCACCAAAATCTTGCTGATAACTTTAAAATAGTGAGGTGGATTGAGTCCATTATTTGTGGTAAATAAACACCTTACCTACAGTTTGACATATTTTTGCCTCCACGTGTTTGCTCAGAATATGAGCCATCAGAATTGTTTCCTCTGCATTTATTTACCAGGATGGAGAATATATAATAATCATGTAAGATATAAATATATATAAAACAGTGATAACATCACAAGAAAAGAAAATACAACGTATTCCAACGCTAAAATTGACTGCTATATTATTCTTCAGTGGTGTTTGTTAAAATGGTATTCCAATTAAAGGCAGGCTTATTTCGTCTATATTTTTAAAAATGTGTTGAAGCTATTCAGTATATATATGTACATATATTATGTACACTCTTTGAAGAAAACACATAAACTGTTTTAGAACTATTTACGAGGCCAAAATACTTCATAATATGGTACTTCACTTAAACAATAAAGTGGAGCGTTTTTCAGTGATTACCCAAAATCCATTCGAGGTGCATTTACACAAGTTTTAATCGAAAGCGGAAGATGTCCATTTGTCAATTGCACACTAAACAATCCAAACGAAATTATGATCAAGTTTTAGTAAAGCTAAACATTTAGAGACGTGAGTGCTGGTTGGATCAAGATTGAACAGCAAATTTAGTGTGTGTACACATTACAAAAGAAATCACATTTTCAAATTAAAATTTATTTTCTGCGATAGCTGGAACTTCTTCAGTGAAACTGCTAACAGCAAATTGATATATTCTGGCAGGAGCTTGGAATTGCTGCAACCTATCTCAAACCATTAAAATATTATACTTCTGTGTAAACAAATCGTGAATTATCTTTCTGATGGTTTTTACAAACCCAACGATGTAGCACGAACATTCCCTCAGTTTGCTGACAAAAATTAGAGGTATAAATTAATCAGTCATCAACAGTATATTAGCTCGAAGTCTGACAATGTTTTAAGAAAAATATTTTTAAGATAATTTCGTTCTCGGCTTTTATAATTGGAACTTTAATCTGGACATTTTCACAAGAGCTATTTGAAATTAATATCTCACTTATTTTCAAACGAAAGTGGATCACTTTCAATGAATAAAGGATAAATTTTATTTGTTTTTTGAACAGAAACTGAATCTATTGTCATTTACACACTTCACAATGAAAACGGTATTGATGACAAAAACATTGATTTTTCAAGCAGTATGAGGTTGAGGAAGAATTTGCTTTTCCTATGGGTTTTCCTTGATATAATAAATGACAATAAATATGGAGTTAGATAGACATGATTCCGTCACTCCTAATAAATAGCTCTTACTAGTTTAACGCAATAACTATAACACGGAAAAACGTAATATTTTGTTAATTCACGACTACGATAACGACGTGCAATCTAACCATTTATTGTGGCGTAAACATTTAGACAAACGCAAGCTGAAGATGTATCATACCTAGTGCTGTTGGATCCTCTTTTTTGATGTCTAGTTTTGAAATCTTACCCCACATTATATTTTTCATTAAACGTTTTCAAGAGCATACATTAAAATTAAAAAACGAATCAAGGAGTAATGTTAGCAAACCTATATTTCAGCAGTAAATGACACATCTACAACGCCTTACTGTCACAGTTCTTATCTAAAAAATATTGGATTGGATATTTATGAAGTTTGATTAACAATTTCTACATGCTTAAAAACAAACTAAAAGCGAAATTCATATATCTAGAGAGATTTAAGAGTCGCTGCAAAATTCTAAATAAAAATTCTGCTCTTCAAATTAGTTCGCTCTTGAGTTGTGTAAAAAGTGAAAACTGATGAAAGCAAACCTTTGTTTTCCTGTTGCTTCTCTGTTTTTGTAAAGCAGTACTGTGTGCGCAAGTCCGTCCTATGAAACGGAAACATAATTATATTAGCTAAATAAAATAATAAGCACAGCTTAAGATACGTTAGTTATCGATGAATATCAGCACAGTTTTCAAGGATATTTGTCTTACAATGTAATTAGTTTCTTATTCTGTAAAGATAATTTAATTTTCAAACACTGCTGGATTATATTAAAGTCATACAAAGAACATGTCATTCGCTTGACTTTACTGTTGAAAAAAAGCTTTTCCCTCGAGACAATATTTCCTCAAGGTACAAGACTTCTATGACAAACTTACAATTAATTGTACTTACGAACCTAAATATAAAGTACTTTATAAATCTAACCCAGAACAATGAAGTGTCAAAAATGCAAACGTAACAACTCCTTCGTAAACTGATATACTAATCGACAAAACTCTACCATGACTGAAGACTAGATAAATATGACACTAATTATTGCTGAATGACTAATCAGAGGGGACATATCAGCGTTACAGATGGTTAGCCTGTGATAAATTCTGAGATTGTGAAGATCAGTGGTTTGGTTTTAAATCCCACAGAAACCATCAGCCCTCCTATCATAGTATCAACTCTCATTGAAAACAGGTACAGGGCTTTCTGACGACTAACTCCAACCATCTATCACCAAACACAGTCAACGCGATGTCCAGTTACACAGACTACTGTCGATACTTCATAGTGGTCAACAGAATTCAACTTGCACTGCGGGTCAGACGGATGTGACATTTTTCGCCACTTAGTAGTTAATCAATTTTATGGTAAGACCCTAAGAATCCACTCAAACGTTTACGGACCTCTCAAAGTGTACTTTTATAGGCCTCTGTACTAATTCATTCTTATAACCATACCACTTTTGTGTTCCGCCTTACCAGAACAAAAATTTCTAGTAATTTCTCGAATGCATTAAATGCTGTTTGTTCATCGCCGTTAACGCATCATGATGAACTTTTATCATGAAGAATGTTACTAGATACAGTGATTGCCTTCATTATTTCCGATGAATGTTGTTTATTAAATACTCGCAACTCTACAGCAGATATCGCTGTAAGCTACATCAAAGATAGGGATACGATGTATCGACATTTTGTAATGTTTTCTAAGTTTCATATAATAAGCCAAACTTTTTCAACTTAATACTCTCTCAAATATCTATACAAATGTAACACAACATGTTTTGGAAATAACTTATCGATGCCAAATAGCTGGTTAATTAGGAACTTTTGCCAAAAAGGGAATGATATACTGTGAAGTGCTGTCTGAAGCGTCCGCTTCCATAGACGTTTGGACACGGACAAGGTAGTTGAGATAAAGAGTCCTGATCATTATGAGATTTTTCCTCACGTTCAGTCAGACGCACAATGGTGACATAGTAATCACATATAGAATGCTTTTGAACTGATACGAACTAAGTGGAAACTACGACAACAAAGTCTTATAAAATAATTTTGCAATCTGAGGCACTCAAAATATCACTATTTATAAACTCTAGCATCCCCTCCTTACTCTCTTTAAGGAATGAATTAGTTCTAAATCTGAAGGTGTAAACGTATTCTCAACATTTACCATATTACAAACCTATTGCAACGGTTTTATTAACTAAGTCACATCCAACACCTCAGGATTCTGAAACACTGAATGTCACATCAAAAATAGGCGAGACGTTTGTGGTGAGGGTAGGTGATCATTCTGGAGAGTATCATTGCACGATTGTAAATAAGTCAGTTTGTTGTTGATGGCACTTCCAGAAAATAAATAATCCGATAAAAACGTTTTAATTGAATTCAGTTATTATAATCCCTCCAAGTTGATTAAATTCAGTGAATCCGTTAACTTATACACCCAAATGGATGAGCTTCATGCATCTGGTTTCTATCATTGATATGCAAAGATAGGAAATCAAAGCGAGTGACTGTTTTCTATTTGTACTTTGTAAATAATTTTTTCAAAATAGTTACTACTCACGATCATAGGATTGTTACTTAAGTCAATATATGCCCCATCAGTACTTTTGGGTCTCATGCCTTGACGAATGCGGAAGATGTCGTACCGATCTCTGGGAATCCCTCGGTTGGATGACATTTGGATACTTCGAAAACTGAAGTGCGATTATTTATTATGACTTATAAATTTGCGCGACCTTGAACGTCAGTGTATAAATTCGAACAAATAAAATTCCCAACTCCTATTACATTAAATAATGACAGAGTAAATTTCAAAAATGCTTATATTCCTGCCATTCATATTATTAGATATTCAATTATTGAGTCAATTCCAAGATTTCCTGATTTTTCTCAAATTTTTTCCCTTGATGGATGTCCTGCTCTGCACTGTGTAAAATGTAGAATTCTGAGATATATCAGAAACTATTCTACAAAGTAATAGAAAAACCTCTTACACAACTTCTCACTTTGATGCTATTTAATGCAAACGTTTTCGATTTGCTATGAATTAAAGTTTGTTCAGTCGAGCTGTATCAAATAATAAGAGCTCGGTTGTATGAAATTCAGAAGAGAATGTTCAGAAATTGAACAAAATTTGTGTCATTTATTCACAACAATTCAAGAACATATGGGAACGAAAACGGATGTCAGACCAAATCTAAGTCAGAGCATTCAAAACAAACGCGAAAACGGTTCTAATGTATGAAGCTGAAACTTGAAGAAAAGCCACAACAATCATCAAAAAGTACAAACATTTGCAAACAACAGTTTTCAATGTAAAGTTCCCTGGACCTGATGGTCAAATACTATCAGAAACAACTTACTGTGGGAGAAAACAAGTAGCTTCCAACTGCAGAGGAAGTTGCAAAAAGGCTCTCACGCTGGTAAAGACATACATTGCGGAAATTATGAAACGGCCTTAAGAGGCTAGCACTAATTTGGGATTCCGAAGGGAAGGAGAAAAGAGAAAGATCAAGATCATGCTGCTTCGAGAGCCGGCGGAAGATGTCAAAAAATGAGTAGCGATTGGCGCAACTGGGAAGGAGGGGCCTGGACAATATGTTTATAAGAATCCTCAACCGTTGCTTTGCTATTCCATTACAGGCAGAAGGTGTGATTAAGTGAATAATTAAATGAAACCCACTTAATAAAATCAATTTGTTCAAAAGGAAGTCGGATCAACGGAATGTTGTCTGAAAATCTGTGCTCTTAGTAAATCAGGAAAGTTATGTTACCTGAGGATGGATAAATTATCCAGTTTAGATAAATATATATGCTGGTTATAATCTTATAATATATATATATATATCCTGAAAATAATAATTACAGAATTAACGCCAGTCTACAGGCATAATCAATTTGATATAAACAGTAACATTAGATGTGGAGAACAAACATGTGATATAAGATTGTTCTAAGTTTTCTAGTTCTGTAATTGTTTAAGTAGTACGTTTATGACATGTAGTACAGCAATACAATGCATCAGCAGGGAACTCTTAATATTTTTCCTAAGTGGATAGCCTGTTGATTTATGAACGGTGTTATTTAAGGTTATTGCCTGTGCCGGGACGAATTATTGATGATTATCTACAATTAGAGAAGGTAAGATGAAAACAGAGAGCACGGAAAAACAAAACAATGATCATCAAAATATGTTGGTCAGATTTACCACTGTTCATGTTAGATATTATTCAAATAAGTCAAGGTTGCTAGGGGCAGTGTTACCTCTCTTTTCCAGTGCCGTAATAAAACGCTTGATTAAAGTTGACGTTTTTAACTGACCGCTTGTATATTTACTACAATACGCCCTGATGTAAACAGCTATAGACATTAATTGCACCAAATATTGACCAAACGTTGATCGTCTCCATGCATTCTCTATAGGCCGCGTCAACGTTTTCGGTGAAAATTGATGCTTTACTTATATGATTAATATTCTTATGTACTTGAATTTCCCCCGATTTCTCTGACCAGTGTGTCAACCTAACTGAGTAACTTATTACACCAAACTCTATAACATTTGTAACATTTTGATATTGCCATGAAACCGACATGTCTTGTGTAGCATGCTGTCACTTGAAAATTAATTATAACTGTTCATCGTAATTTTAGACAAGAAGAAACGGCTTAAACAAAACACACGAAGATCACATTGATAGCAATAAATGAGAGTTACTGATAATATATTCAGTGGCATGCAAAAGTAGATTGGATCAAGCTGAAAATTTTGGGAATAATCTCAAAACGCAACTCAAACAGGAAACCCAGTACTAAAAACATATCCGTTGTCAGAGACAAATGAAAATATCGTGTTCTGAGTCCATGAAATGCACTGAAGGCCCAAACTATCTGTTAAACTTTGAGGGTACAACGAAATATCCCTGGGGTAAATATTCATAAATAAGGTATTACTATAAGACGTGAAACCATTTGAAAGTTTTGTTTATCCTAAACCATAAGTGTCATTGATAACATAAGTTAATATTCCGTAAAGAGTAACACTCTGAAGCATCGGAATAGTGTAGTGAAACCAAGATCGTACGTTCGATTCAGTTGCGTCATTGTGACACCAGTTCACAGATATATCGGTTAACGAAAGATATATGTAAGCGCGCTAGATTTGAGGGTCGCAATTAAAGTTTTAAAGTTATGGCCTCAACCCTCACCTCAGGTCACGGCATAGGTGGTAAACTATCATGTAGTTAAGCAGTTCATAAAAGAAACGCAATCATCAATCCTTTGTGACAATCTGACTGCTACAAAACGTAAATAATGTCTGTTCGAGAATGATGGATAAGTGCTGATCTTTTCAATGCGAACATCTTACCAAAATTTGAAATCTTTGACTGCTTTATGATAGTTTATGTCATCAGTTACACTAGGAGTCTATGAAATACTGCAACCACAAGAAAAAGCATTTTTTCCAAAAGCGGACATATTTATCCACTTCGTTATAGCGCATTGCTTTGCATTATCCTTTTAAATATTGATGCAATTTTCTAACATGATAGTATATTTAACACAAAAATGAAAGAGGGATATAGGATTCTCGAATTTGTGAGGTAGAGTTATCGAGCTTCGATCCCTTTCACGCGATGATCATTACTGACTTTCATTGTATTTTAACAATAAAAGTTCACTGTAAACCTTTCAAGTTCAGCACGAAGAGTATTTTGGGTAAAGGTCAGTTCGATTATACTTTCCCCATTCTACCCACTTTCTCATGTGATCATCATGAACAAAAGCCCTAAACATTTAGGGTTGGACAGAAAGTGTGCTTTTTATAATTTATGGTAATTGCTTGTCCAAAAGATTAACGGTGAGATGTAATGACTTTGGAGAAAGTAAAAGGTCAAAATAGGTTTAAAATGTGAGGAACGTTTAACTGACAGAAAATAATTGTTTGAGACTTACCAAACAGTTTCGGCATAAAAAGGCTAACGATTTAATAAACAGGTGATTGGGACAAAAATTTTGTTCGACAACTAAACACATCTTACCTGTCTATGTTCTTCTGAAAATATTCACACAATAATCACAGCAACCTTCAGTTTTTACACTCACAGAGAAAAATTTTTCGATTGTCAGACCAATATATTATAGAAACAAGAATGTCAAGATCAGAATTATACGAATCTGAGTTCGAAGCTTGAGTGAAAGTAATCTATCACGGAACCCGTGAAAATAATGATATTCATAATAACAGTTTATAGTCGGTTGCATAATCCAAGGTTTTCCTATGAAAACTTGATCTGCCTTTATGTAAAGTGTTATATCCCCTGGTGAATTATGAATGGTAAATCTGAGGTCTGTTATCGACCAATGTATTATGCCTATTTCTTATTGTACAGTTGTTACGTAACTAAATTATTCATATTCGTTTTCTCTTATCATGAGCTTTATTTTGATCTTTGATTTATGATCATACGATTCTTGAGTTATAATCAGTTGATTGGTTACTTTGGTTTGTATAAAAACCCATTATGTTTGTAAATAATGATTCATATTGCCGAGGCTGTTATTTGTGTTCTGGACTTAACGGACTGGGCTAGGCAGATAGCAGGGCCGATACGCAATCAAGACTGCTCGTACAATTTCAAGTATCATTTGCTTCCGATCAATAAATCCACTACCTCTCCAATTGCACGTTAATATAAATTACGAGTCATACGTCATAACATAAAGAAAAAGAAAACATACTATATTTAAGGAGAGTATAAGAAGTAGAATAGTTTCAAACACCGTCTTTTTGACTGCAGATTTACATATCATTCCATGATGAAAATATTCCACAAACGCATAATATTGCTTTTGATCTACACGTCAAATAGCTAAAACAATTATTAAAAAGCAATATAAGACATAATACAGGGATTTAGTATAAAATAAGACGAGATATCACTTCACGAATAATTTCATTGATAGTAAAATAGTTAGTTTTTGAAAATCAGGTGGTTTTGATAACTGTTTTAGGACATTTAATCTTTTTATGGAACATTCTCGTTTTGTATCAACTGGAATCTGACCTGCCCCCTTCAATATTGACAAATATCCAGTTTCCATTTGGGGATGAGAATGGCTGTTTCGGTCAACTTCTCTCTTTTCAGTTGTTTCAACTAAAAAATACAAGTACTATTTCAAAGGCAAACACAAGATTTGTGTAAAATCTACTGAAACCACGCGAATTTACCTGGTAAGACGGTTGGAAGTGATGTCACAGCCTCAAGTATCTCTCGTGGTTCATTCTTGTGTTGCATAAATTCACTCGCTTTTATTATTTGCCAGTCGCAAAACTCACAATTTCTGCGTTTCTCTTCTATATCGCACGACATTGTACCCCTAGCATATTCAATAGCGCGCACATTAGGATCGTTGTCACTGGTTCTTACTTTGTAAATACATGGATGGCTAGTGAGAGTCTCAATTCAGGAGATATTGGTAGGTTAGAATCCTTGGATCTAGCAATACGGTTATGTGAAATCTCTAAACGACAACAAATAATGAACTTTTCAGTAATGTGTACGACACGGATTACTGGACAGAAACACTGAAACTGAGTCACCAATTTTTCACTAATGA